CTTCCAGCTGAAGTGGTAGAGGTTAACACAGTAAAGGAGTTTAAGCATGCGTGGGATAGGCATAAGGCTATCTGGACCAGGGGGGGTCATCCCGATCTGCACAAGCAACGGCCAAACTGAGCCGAATTCTAACACCCTGCTGCGGAACACTCACGCCGGCCACATGGAAACCATCCAACATCATCTGACCACCACAGCTACCTGCCCCAGGGATGTGTCGGCTGACTGCATTGAACTGACCTAAGGGATGTTTGCAATACATACATGAGGACACCATCATTTCTTCCGGGGCCTGCCCGTGAGACGACTACAATAGCTGCATCCAGGATCCTCCTGTGAGGCGCAACGCATCCATCAGAGCAAGCAGCCTGCCAGCACCAGGTATGGACTAAGCAAATCCACGCAGGTCCTCTAATGCACAGTCCAAATTGAATATGTTACATGATTGTGATGCAGCCTATCATATGCAAGGACTCTAAGAATTCTGCCATAATCTTGAACACTCAGGACTTTATAAGACTTCATCCATAGGACTGACCCAGACCCAGTAACTATCTGGTACAATATAATCCCACCGTGTAAATATTATTCTCATGTCCTCTGCTACCCTGGCTAGGCTCTTCTCTGTCTCTCAAAAGACACCACTTATAACACAGATCCCAGCAGGCTCAGATAGCATCTCTATGTTTCAATTCCATGCTCAGTGCTCTATATGTCTGTTTAACCTTTGTTAGATGTGGTTAGTATAGCAAAAAGCCAATGGATACTGCCATGGATATATATAATGTAGGTCGAGCGTGTGACTGGCATTTAAACGTGGCTCATGTCCCTTAATTCACATTTAACCCTTTACAAGCTAGCCTTAACTTTTACTGAACACTGATCAGCCTGGTAACTCTACCTCGTTCCATATTATGACTTTTAAAGCAAACATGTGCAAAGTTTCTAACATGTAACCCGCATACATTACTGTAAGCTTAAGCGCACCCAACTACGTCACTCAAATGCCTAACCAAACATGTTCATTATAACTTAACGAGTTTGTCTTTTTCATGTCATTTAAAAAAATGTGCCGTTTAAACTCCCACGCATTGTAAAACTATGAAAATGCCTGCAGTTGCTGTCGTAGCTCTGTATGATTATTGTTATTTGACGCACAAATAAAATAAAGAATTAAAAAAAAAAAAAAAAACCTTTACCTATATTCAGAAATGACTGCTCTCTTTTAGGTTCGAAGAAATTGCTTTATTAATGTACATGAGGAGGTACCGCACCCCACATTTTGGCAGCATATTTCTCCAACCACGTCTAACATATACTGGAGGTGCGTAGAGGCACTGGCACCACTGGCACCATTTATAGTGAGATTGTCCACAGCTGAGTGTTCAAAAGAGTGTATCTTGCCTATTCGATATCTATATCAAATGTGAAAACATTTTTCTGGATGCTTGAATTATAGCCTTATGTTGGTTTTGCTCAACAGAATTTTAGTACCGAAAAACTGACTCAGGAAGCAAATGAGACAGACCAAAAAGGGTGTGAAAATGGGACCATGTAATGTAAAATATATTCATATAATATTATGCATATATTTTGTTGGCACTGATAGGGGCATATTCCTGCTGTTTGGTTCACAGATTCGCTGAGAAGAAGTAACCAACAAAGAGGAAAAAAGAGGAGGCGCAGTAAAACATATATATATATATATTGATTTTTTTTATATACTGCTCCTCCTTTTTCCTTCTATTGGTCAGCTCTTGATCAGTGAATAATATCCACATTTACTGACTGTTCCTAGCCATCAATTATCTTTTTTTTGGCACATTAGTCATCTGTTTGTTTGGCACCACGGGTGGAATTTACATACCAAAATGAACATGCATGGCAATTCTGCATTTCATTAGGTTTATGATTCAAGTACATTTGTGCACGAAGTTTGAGAATTTAACCGATTCTTCAATTGCTCCAAATTCAGACTAATTGCTCTTCAGACTCAATTGAATGTCCAAGTTTTGACCTAATCCCTCTTAGTTGGTGACAAGGTATTCCACAAAACATGTGCATTCTGTGCATTTATACATGTGCCCTGTAGCTTGTATGTTCATTTAATCAAGGCTCTTACCACGTCTTCTGATATGTCAATCTTTTTTTTGCGTTTATTTATTTTTTTAAATCTTTTTTTCTGAACAATTCGCATTATTGTTACCGAACGATAGACAAAATAGTTTACAAATCTTCAATGCTTGAAAGCCCAATCGTGTCTAAATGCAAATTACAAAACCATAGAAACAGCACATATTATCCACAGTATATGATATATTAAAGTGTTCACTTTCCAGAACATAACATAATCATATACAGAAATTACAGATATTTACTAGTGAACATGTGTGGGGGGCAGAGAGAGATTTAAAAGCAAAAAAACAAAATCTGCAGTACCGGGATAAGGAGGACAGGGGAGGGTTCAGGGGGACCGGGCATGTTTTAATTACGAATTATACACTGATGTGGTTTAAGTTTGTGCTTTATAAATCAAATATATTGATAATATGAGCATTGTCCTATGAGTTTCCAACCTTTAACCAAACAATTATACATGTGATAAAATTGACTTTTTGTCCACTTCACGTTATCATCCTCACTAAATTTCAGCCTGTAAAAGTTATAATTTGTGTATTTTTTTTTTTATTGATTGGGTGAATTATAATCACCATTCAGAGCATCTGTGCTTTTTCCCCCCGTAATTTTTATTTAATACAGAAAGGAGTGTATTTTTGGTTATATTGTTTGCGTCACTAAAATAATTTATTCTGTGAATGATGGCACAATTTGTTTGCGATATGCATGTTTATAAACTAAGCATTCTGTTCATCTTCTATGATCACTATGTATAAATAAAATTTTAAGTTCTTTCAGTAGAGTACCCATGGTAGGTAAGCGTACTCTGACAGTGCTCATCACTATCCACCAAAAGGATGAGCTATATTAATAAAAGATTAATAATGCAAAACCAGTCAACAATGTCCTCCTATAGTAAGGTCATTTGTAGAGCCAATAAAAATGCTTTAGGGATTTAAAAACTTTCCAATATCCACATCGTGTGTATTTAAAAAAATGGTTTTAAATATGAAGAGGTGCTCTACTCTTCTTCAATCTCGGGGTACTTTGCAGTGGAAAAAAATTATGGGGTCTATTGTGTAAGTGCCAAATGTGCTTTAGTATATTCAGCCATTTTAATTTGGCACAGTTGGGTCAGTCCTTTTTTGCAAAGAATCTCATGGCAACAGTGAGATTTATTTGAAAATAGCTCAAGATAAATCGCAGCCAAACTGTAACTAAATGTAAACTAACGGCAACTGAACTTAAAGGATCACTCTAGGCACCCAGACCACTTCAGCTTAATGAAGTGGTCTGGGTGCCAGGTCCAGCTAGGCTTAACCCATTCTTTTATAAACATAGCAGTTTCAGAGAAACTGCTATGTTTATGAATGGGTTAAGCCTTCCCCCAAAGCCTCTAGCGGCTGTCTCATTTACAGCCGCTAGAGGCGCTTGCGTGATTCTCACTGTGAAAATCACAGTGAGAGCACGCAAGCGTCCATAGGCAAGCATTGATAATGCTTTCCCATGCGACCGGCTGAATGCGCGCGCAGCCAGCCGACGGGGAGGAACGGAGGAGGAGAGCTCCCTGCCCAGCGCTGGAAAAAGGTAAGTTTTTACCCCTTTCCCCCTTCCAGAGCCAGGTGGGAGGGGGACCCTGAGGGTGGGGGCACCCTCAGGGCACTATAGTGCCAGGAAAACGAGTATGTTTTCCAGGCACTATAGTGGTCCTTTAATTACTATAAATTATGCAGCTAAAGTAAAACTAAGTTTGGGGTAAAATGTAGATACTATTTAGTTTTGGGGTATTGTTATATACGGTAAGTGTCAATTGGGGATATAGGTGGTTGACAAAGGGTTATGGGAGTTTAGGATTTGGGTGCAATTCCAATGGAATTTAAATTTGTAATCTCATGTCAGGAGTTAAGGGTGTAAAAATAATAAAGTGCAGCATTAATTTTGCTATGTAAATTCTTTAAGTGTCGAAGTTATTAATAGCAATTTAATTATTAGATTTCAGATTTAAGACTGAAAGATTAAAATTTGCCATAAACTGAATTGTTCTCTGAGAGGCAGGAGATTACAGTATTCAAATTTACCATTACATGTGGGATTCATTAATATTTCACATTCTTTCACAGGTCACTGAAGCAGAATATCCGTGATTGTGGTTAAAGAAATCTGCAAAATATGAATGGAAATATAAAGACAAGGGATGGTGCAATTAGTGAAATGCCAACTGAGATTTGAAAAGCATTCTGCATCACTTCCTTAGAATATTTCTTTTATAAAGATATGAGGGAGAATTCTGAAGGTGAATAACCACTTGCACCAAGTTAAAGTAAAATAGTAATTGTTTTTTCTTTTAATTATTATGGTCCAGGTTTGTATGAATCAGATATCATTTGTTATATATATACAAATTTTATCTGCTTTTTACATCTATATATATTTATATATATATATATATATATATATATATATACAGTATCTCACAAAAGTAAGTACACCCCTCACATTTTTGTGAATATTTTATTATATTTTTCATGTGACAACACTGAAGAAATGACACTCTGCTACAATGTAAAGTAGTAAGTGTACAGCCTGTATAACAGTGTAAATTTGCTGTCCCATCAAAATAACTCAACACTCAATAACTAGTACACGCCTAGGTGGAAATGTCCAAATTGGGCCCAAGTGTCAATATTTGGTGTGGCCACTATTATTTTCCAGCACTGCCTTAACCCTCATGGGCATGGAGTTCACCAGAGCTTCACAGGTTGCCACTGGAGTCCTCTTCCACTACTTCATGATGACATCACGGAGCTGGTGGATGTTAGAGACCTTGTGCTCCCCCACCTTCCGTTTGAGGATGCCCCACAGATGCTCAATAGGGTTTAGGTCAGGAAACATGCTTGGCCAGTCCATCACCTTTACCTTCAGCTTCTTTAGCAAGGCAGTGGTTGTCAATGGGAACTGGGACAATCATGTGTACCTATATTAGGTATGAAGCACTGGCTTGTAGATCACTTATCTAACCATTCAAGTTAATGGAAGTCACTTTGACTGAGGATCCCATTAATATGAATAGGTGAAGCTCTGCACATGTATATAAATGTCTGATGACATGAGAGCCGGATTACCCATAAGGCAACTTGGGCAGCAGCCTAGAACGTGTTCTCAGATGGAGACCTGCTGGGACTTGAGCACCAGCTCTAGTTTTGAGGGGGACCTCCTTGAGAGCTTTTGACCTTTCTGCTCGCCTCTTTCCCCTTTCACCAACTTGAAGCAGTGCAGGTGTGCGGCAAGCAGCTTTACTGAATGCTAGGAGCAAACACGCTCTGCCAGGACTCATTAGATGGTACTAGAGCTTCCTATTCCTATATAAAATAGAATATAGAACTTATAATTCCTATATGCTCGCCCCCTGCACATAGCACATGGTCCCTGACAGAGGCCACACAGAGCAAGATTGCTTCTAGGTCTCTAACTGCAATACAATTTATATGTTAGGAGGGGAGATTTAAAGCAAAAGAAAGAGGAAATAGTGTTGGAATGGGGATATGGAGATTTGTGAAAAGCAGTAAGGGGTATATGGGTATTTCTGAAATCTGGAAATGGGAAATATGTATGGTATACACTCATCTATAAGTCGATCTAGTCTATAAGTCGACTGCAGTTTTTTGACCAACAATTGAAGATTATGCTAGCGTTAGTGTACTTATAATCTTAATTTTAGTAATGACAGGAGGCGAGTATTTTGCATTAACTCTCTTTACTAACTCCACACAGCAGTAAAGAAAAGTGAGAAAACATTAACCAATCAAAATGCAGTAGGAGGTACAATATTCACAGTGATGAGGCTCCTCCCCCTCTTTCGAAAGCGACATCAGAAAACAAATTTCCCTCGATAAATCCAAAGTCTTGTAACATGCACCAACGGGTGAACTTTCCAACTGAGCCGGTCTAGAGGCCGGAAGATGGTCCAAACGTGTCCATCCTGAGTGTGAGCTGCAATATCCTGAAGTTATGCTGAAAAAGAACGTGGAAAAGGTTAGGTACCGATCTTGCAACTGTTTGCAGTAATGAAATAGACCAGATACAAATTCCACTGACAATGAGACATTCATAGCAGAATGACAGTAACAGATAACGGAGACATAAATAGACCTGGTACAAACATGATATCCTGCAGAGTGAGTAGGAAGATAGTAGAGGGGTGAAAGCCCACAGTGTAGGTATACTCACGTGAGAACGTATCCCTCGCGGGTGTGGTGGGTGGGAAAATACTCGCCTCCTGTCATTACTAAAATTAAGATTATAAGTACACTAACGCTAGCATAATCTTCAATTTTACAACATGACAGGAGGCTTCATATTTTGCATTTTTAACGCTGATGAAGGAGAGACGCGGCTGCCCCCGTGTTCGGGCGGAAATAGAAGGTCCGAAAGGTCGCTTCGCGTGACCAATCCGCGGCTCGTAGGATGTCTGCCAGCGATGCGCCCGCGGTGAAAGCCGACGAGGCCGCCGCACCGCGAACGGAGTGGGCGCCGAAGGTCTCCTCCACTCCTGCCAGAGACAGGATCCATCGCACCCATCTGGCGAGGGTGGTAGTGGAGACGGGTACGTGAGGTCTAACGTAAGACACCAATAGTTGGCCCGAAGATGAGACCCGAAGTGGGGATGTGATTTGTACGTATCGACGCAGAGTGGAGACCACGCAGAGCAGCGGTTCCGTAGGGAAAAAGGGGTAAAAAAAAAAAAAAAACGACGAGGAGTCCGATTTGGTACGACGTGACACTTGGAAGGTAACTCCCTCGGGGGAGACCGAAAAGGCGTCAATGTCGAAAGCCCGCACGTCCGAAACTCTGCGGAACGAGACCAAACACAGAAGAAGTGTTAGTTTGGCCGACAGTTGTCGGAGTGAAAGTCTGTCGTTATCTGGCCAGTCCCTAAGGAACTGGAGAACGACCTCCACATCCCATAACCGGGTGTATTTGGGTTTGGGAGGCCTCTGGAGTCTTATGCCCCTGAGAAGACGGCATACCAGAGGATCTTTCCCGACGGGCATCCCCCGGGTCGGAACGTGAGCCGCCGAAATCGCGGAGCGCACAACGTTGAGGGATCGGTAAGACCGTCCCATGGAGTACAGATGGGAGAGAAAGTTCAGGATGGCTGTTACAGGTGCCGTAAAGGGATCAAAGTTCCGTTCACTGCACCAAGCGGCCCAGGAATTCCATGCTGCAAGGTAGCATCGTCTGGTTCCTGGTGCCCATGAATCCCATAAGAGGTCTCGAGCCGTCTGCGATAGGTCCTCGGTTTGCCAGGCACCCCTGAAAGAGTCCAAGCTACTAGAGTGAGGCGGTCTTCCAGAATGAGAGGATGGAGGTTCCCTCTCGGGTCTGTGAGGAGTGTCTGGTAGGACGGTATGAGGAGAGGGTCCCTGTAGGATGATACTAGGAGGTCCGGGAACCATGGTTGGCCCTGCCATAGGGGGGTGATGAGGAGCAGAGACCCGCGTTGCGGCTTCAGGTATTGTATCGTCCTTGCCACCATGGCGAATGGGGGAAAGGCATAAGCGCCCTTGAGTGGCCATGGTTGGAGAAAAGCATCTACTGCCTTGCTCTCCGGATCTGGTAGCCAGCTGAAATACTCATCCGTCTGCCTGTTGTTGCGCGATGCGAAGAGGTCTAGGTGGAGGGGGCCCCTCCTGGCCGAGAGGCGCTGAAAGATCATTGGGTCCAGTCTCCAGTCGCTGCTGTCCCGCCAATGGCGAGAAAAACAGTCCGCTGTCAGGTTCGTCTCGCCCGGGAGATATTCTGCCATGAGGGAGATGTTCCGGGGTAGGCAAAACTGGAATATTTCTTTCGTGATCTCCGAAAGGAGTCTGGAACGGGCCCCTCCCAGTCTGTTGATGTAACGGACCGCTGAGACGTTGTCCATCCGGAGGAGGATGCAACAATTCGTCCGGTTTTTCGCTAAGCTGCGGATTGCAAACGACCCCGCTAGGAGTTCCAGGCAGTTGATGTGGAGGTTGAGTTCCTGGGAAGTCCAAGTGCCTCCTGTTGAATTGCCTTGGCAGGTGGCGCCCCATCCCCAGAGGCTGGCGTCTGATTCCAGGACTATATCGGGCGTGTTCCCGAAGATGGCTCGGCCATTCCACGCTTCCATGCTGTCCAACCACCATCCGAGTTCGTCCTTGACTTCCTCCGTCACCGGAACAGTTTGGTCGTACGAAGGGTTCTGGCGGAGAAAGGAAGCCTTCAAGCGTTGCATCGCTCTGTAGTGGAGCGGGCCCGGGAATATCGCTTGGATAGATGCGGATAGTAAGCCCACGATCCGAGCCAAGTTGCGGAGTGGAATGGTGTGGCAGCGAATGGTTCTGCGTAGCTCCTTCTTGATGGCTGCGATCTTTGAGGTCGGGAGCCGTAGTGTGCTGGTCTTGGAGTCTATTTCGAAACCCAGAAATTGTATAGTCTGGGTTGGGGATACTTCTGACTTTTGGAAGTTCACCACAAAACCTAGGGATGTGAGGAGTCGGGTGGTATATCGTGTGTGTTGCGTTAGACTGTACCTGTCTGAGGAGAACAGTAGCAGGTCGTCCAGGTAGATAATGCACCGAATTCCTTGACTTCGTAGTCGAGACACTACTGGTTTCAGTAGTTTGGTGAAACACCACGGTGCTGAGCTGAGGCCGAAGGGGAGGCACGTGAATTGCCAGGGGCGACCTTGCCATCGGAACCTGAGGAATTGTCGGCAGGAAGCATGGACGGGTACCGAGAGGTAGGCGTCCTTGAGGTCCAGTCTTGTGAACCAGTCCCCGTCCTGGAGCAGATCTCGTAGAAGGTGGATGCCTTCCATCTTGAAATGTCTGTACAGTACAAAGGCATTGAGCCCCCTCAGGTTTATAACCGGCCGGAAATCTCCGGATTTTTTCTTCACTAGGAAAATGTTGCTGAAGAAACCGTTTTGGTCGTGAGCGGGTTCTATCGCTCCTTTTTCCTTGAGTTCCCGTAGTTCGCCATCGATTAAGTGGCGATCTTTCTTGGAACAGTGAATGGGGTGCGGAGGGGCGGTCTGGAACGGGGTTTCCACGAAATCTATGACGTAGCCCCGAACCGTCTGGAGGATCCATGCGTCCGTGGAGATGGCTGTCCAGTTCTGAAAAGACAGAGCAATACGACCTGCAGTACATGGGGTAAGTGGACATTGAGACACTAAGGTGCTTACCTGTGGAGAAGCGTGCTCTGCCACGGTTACGAGGTCCTCTGCCTCTGTCGGCTCCTCGGGTGTAGGAGAAGGGCTGTCTGAAACCCACTTCTGGGTAGAAGGGTTGGGATCTGTGCGAGCGGGGGCCAGAAGGCCAAAAACGGCTGGCTGCTCGGCCCCTGTAGCGGCCAGCCCGTCCAAAAACACCCCGACTGGGGTGGCCCCTGAAGACTCGCTTCATGGAAGTGTGAGCCTTATTTAGTGAGGTGAAAATGTTTACATGCTTGTTCAGTTCCTTGAGGAAGGCCTCCCCAAACAATTTGCCCTGTGCAAGCGGTCCCAACTCCTTGGTGCCCAATTCCACCAGCTTTCCGTCAATACGGAGCAGCGCTGCTTTACGCCTCTCAGAGGAGAGGGCTACATTGGTGTTGCCCACGAAACAGAAGCACCTCTGTGCCCATTCTCGTATATCATGTGCCCACTCTTTAACCATACTGGCATCAAATTCGTCAGCCCTTGTAAAAGCATCGTCAGCCAAAAACATGATGCGGGAAAGTGGGCCAATGGAATCTAGGAGTTTGTCCTGAACTCCGTGGAATCCTTTTTCAACGCCTCTCCTGGGGTCACGGCCACCCCGAGACATGAATGTGTTCATGACCTGGTCGAATTCGGGAGTCTGAGCCACGTGGTCGGGAAGGGAAGGGCGAGGGCATTCAGAACGAAGTCGGTTGCGCACCGTTTTGTCCAGGGGTTTGCGGAGCCAACGATGCATAAATTTGGAGAGATGATCCGGGGGGGTCCAGTCCCCCGAACGCGGGTGTCGTATATTGCGAGGGTCGAATAGACGCTGGCCCGTGGGGTCCAGGATGGCTTCCCCTTCGTCATGGACCGGTGTGGGGTCATCCGGCAGTTGGGTGTCGTCCAAAAATGTGCCCTGCAGGAGGCCCGTATGGGATCCTGTGTCTGAACCCCAGTCATTATCTTGTGAATCAGAATCTGCGGCCTGCCACTCGTCCAACACGGCCATGGAGCGTGTGTGTTCTTCCCCTTCATCCGAGGAGTAGTGGGCGGGAGTGGGTGGGACTGGCCTGTGGCGTTTGGCCGGTGTCTTGCCTTTGCCCGGGTTGTCAGCCCCTTTTTCGCCCTTCCAGTGGCGTTTGCTGGGCCGTGAGTCGGCCTGCGTATGGGATTCTGAAGCCTCAGAATCATAGTCATGGGCTTGGGCTTTTGTGACTTTTTTAGCCTGATCGGCAGTTGCCGTCATAACCCTGGATAGCGCTTTCTCCATAGAGGCGGAGATGGCTTCCGCGATCATGGTTTGGAAATCCGCAGGGTTTTGGGGTGTATCCATAATGATAGGAGTAGGACCGCTGTAATAGAGAAAGCACAGTAAACGTTGGGCTAGGGGTCAATCCCAGTGAGTGAAAAAGGTACCTGCAGTACCCAGGCAACCCCAGCAGGGTAGTGTATATATGTATAATAACAATAAAATAGGAATAAGCACCCCGGCAGGGTGAGAATGATAAATCTGGCAGCAAAAGCACCAGTTTCCCCCCAGCAGGGGATATTGGGTTTTTTTTTTTCTGGGCCTCACCCAGTTATATATGCATGTACATATATAGGTGGCACAAAATCCACCTGATAGCAGCGGTAATTAGATGATAGGGCCTCACCCTGAATGTAGCAAAATGGCACATAAATACACTGGAGAGCCAGTAATGATAAACAGTATGGGGCCTCACCCCAATGCACAGTTTTATAACCTTATATGGGAAGGCTGACTGACCTGGGGACCCCTGCCTGATTGCGTCCGGTATTGAGGTGATCGGGTGCCGAAATGAAGAGACCGCAATGCTCCCAAGATGGCGGCCGTGGATCTCGCGAGACGCGAGATCCAAGATGGCCGCCGGAGAAAAAACGGGAAGTAATTTCCCGCCGTGCGGTAGAAACAGCGCGGCTGTGAAGCCGCGAGGTGGGGAACGGGTGGAGGAGGGTGAGCGTTACCCTCAGTTAGGAGGAAAACGGTCGGTCCGACGGCGGGGAAAAAGCCGGCGGACCGCGTGGGAACGAAAAAGGGGGGGAAAAGGCCCTGAGAAAAGGGACATAAGGAGAAAAAACCCCCCCTCCCCAAGGGATAAAGTCCCAGAGAGTAAAACGTCTATAAGAAGATGTATAGTAATTATCTATGTAAATACAAATATACAGTACATAGAAATACAGTAACTACAAATGTAATATAGAGCAAATATAATAAGTAAAAGGGAAGAGCCAAAAACTCTGACCTGTCTGCTGATGGAGCAGTAAAGAAAGAGGCGGAGGAGCCTCATCACTGTGAATATTGTACCTCCTACTGCATTTTTGATTGGTTAATGTTTTCTCACTTTTCTTTACTGCTGTGTGGAGTTAGTAAAGAGAGTTAATGCAAAATATGAAGCCTCCTGTCATGTTGTAAAATTGTGAAATATGCTATGACTCGTGGATAAGTCAAGCATTCGTGTTCCCTTGTTTGAACCTTGTTTCGTCTGATATCCCCCTGCATTAAAATGGAATTGTTCCCCTTCTGTTTGGTTACCAAACAGACTCTGTGTGGTTCCTTTTGTTACCACCTCCTAATCACTGACCACCCCTGGCTGTTAACCACAAACAAGCATTCCCTGGGTGTTCAAACAATAAGCGGCCATCTTGTCTCTCAAACACAGGCAGCGGTACATGATCATCGAAGGCATGGATCTCTGAGTTGGCTACGCAAGCCCGCGAACCCCGATGAAATCTGTACCCCTGCCCATTAGACTTCCCGACCAGCTAGGAGAATGGCATACGGGAGTCGACATTGCCCCGCATTCAATATACAAAATTCTATCGAAACTAGCACTGACCCGTGGAAAAGTTGACTCTGCATTTTAAAATGAAGTCTCTGACTAAAATGTCTCGACTTATACATGAGTATATACAGTAGGTTGTGAAGTGTGAGAAGGGGGTTATGGTGATTTGTGAAATGTGGGAAGGGGAATATAGAGATTGTAAAAAGGGAGAATAGTGGGATATGGTCCCCTCCTGAAATGGTGTACTGGACCGCTTCTGGTCATATACATATATATATAAATGCATGCCACCCAGAAATCGAGGAAAGAGCCCCAATCTGGCATTCTGCCAAGGGCAACCTTAATCTTGCTCTGGATAATATGCATCTATGCAGACTTCTCCTCCTACAGAATGTACTTATTGAATAAGAATCCCTGAACATTCCTTGAAGCTGTCAGGGATTGCTGGAAGCAGATCGGATCCTGAGAAACATCCACGAGAGAGACACAGAGAAACACTGAACCACAAGCCTGTACCAGCGGACTACAGGCACCACAACCATTTCAATGATATGAAGTGGTGATGGTACCTAACGTGTCTTTTCAAAGTTACTTATAGAAAAAATGTCCATTGACTATCACAGATATGCAATAATTTGTCAAATGTAATTTGTGCAAAGTGTGAGAAGTGATCTGTGATGGATTTGACAGAGTCTGTGATGTGTGCTCAGTGTAGGAATGTGGCACTAATGCATTATGTAATTATCATACCTTTTATGAAAAAAGCATCAACATGCCAAGATGGATGTAGACACGAGTGTGTAGACACGAGTTTAGCATTCACAATGTCTCTTTTCTGACTAACTATTCGTCAAAAAACTACCCTGCAATAATTTGCAGGCTATGTGATAATTATAAACTGCTTTGATAATGTGAATTACAGTGTGGTTGTAAAGGTCTAAAAATAAAATATGTGCCTACATGTGTCTAAAAATAAAATGTGGTTACAGATGTTAGAAACAAAAGCTCTTGAAATGTACTTATTATTTTTATTGATTATAATTTGTAAAGTACCAACATAATCTGCAACATACAATGGCATTTTAATGTTTTATAGAATGACTTCATGCATAATGTGTGCATTATATTATCTCCAGATTGTCCTCTTAATATTGGAAAGCACTACAGAGTAAGTGCTATTTAAACGCCAATGATTGTTATTGTGGATATATATATATATATATTTATTAAAGACAGTACAATGACTTGCACAAAGGTGCATCAGGAAATAAAAATACATTTAGAAGTCCTTGAATAAAGGAGTCGCTAATGCATTGTAGACATTCAGATGAGGTGGAGCCATTAGTATAAAAGGTTAAAGACATGACGAGAAGAAAAATGCATGCAATATTATTACAAAGTTATTTATTCATCTGAAATCCTTACATATCAAGTACTGGTTGGAATGCATTTAAAGGGACACTCCAGGCACCCAGACCACTTCTGCCCATTGGAGTGGTCTAGGTACCAACTCCCACTACCCTTAACCCTGAAAGTTTAATTATTGCAGTTTTTTATAACCTGCAATAATTGCCTTGCAGGGTTAACTCCACCTCTAGTGGCCGTCTACTAGACAGCCACTAGAGGGCACATCCTGGTCCATAGCACAGAAAACCTGTGCAAGAATGTCACTGGGCGTCCTCACGCTGTGTGAGGACCTCCAGCGTCGCTCAATTCCCCATAGGAAAGCATTGAATAGCATTTTCAATGCTTTCCTATGGAGAGCTCTAATGCGCATGTGCGGCATTGCATGTGCATAAGGTCTCCACGGCCAGCGGGCGGGATCAGTCTCGCCCACCGGCTGACGTAATGAAGAGGAGGAGCGGCGGCGACCCAAAACCACCGCCGAGGGACATCGGCGGGGGTCTCAGGTTAGTGACTGAAGGGGTTTTCACCCCTTCAGCAACCGGGGATTGGGAGGTGGGAGGGAGAGGGGACCTGCAGTGCCAGGAAAACGAATTGTTTTCCTGGCACTGGAGAGTCCCTTTAAATGAAAGCTGTGGCCTTTTTTAATATATGAAATTAATACGTGAACTATTTAAAGGGACAGTATAGGCATTCAGACCACTTCTGCTCACTGAAGTGGTCTGGGAGCAGTGTCCCAGATCCCTTAACCCGGAGCAGGTAAAACTGCAATAATTACCTGCTAGGGTTTACTCCATCTCTACCAGACAGCCACTAGAGGGATTTCTGGGCTGTTAGATGACTTTTGGTCACCTGACGCTAGATGTCCTCACGCTATGCATGGGATGTCCAAAACCCCATAGAAAAGCAGTGAAAAATGCTTCCCTTTGGGGAAATCCTAATGCGAGCGAGGCCATTAGGTCTTAGGAGAGAAGGCGAACCTGAACCAGTGCCGAGGGACATCAGTGCTGGACCCAGGTAAGTGACAGAAATGGTTTTTAACAGAGTTTGACGGAGGGAGAAGATAAAGTGCCAGAAAAATTAGTTTGTTTTCCTGACACTATAGTTTCCCTTTAAATAACAAAATATATTAGAAAATATACTTGTGTTATTCAGAGGAGTGGGGGAAAGCTCTTGCTTTAACATCAAATGTCTGCATGATGTCAGCCTGTCATTATTTCTTTTCTTTTTTGCTATTGATGAGAATATCTGTTAGTCATCAAATTATTTTCTTTAAATATTTTTCTTTCAATACATCAGAAACTCTGTCTTTGGCAGTAAATCTCACAATTGTAATTCTTCTGCTGTACCTACAACCTCACACAGGATGTGTGTGAGATCTCTCAGCCAATCAGAATTATTCCATACATATATATGGAAAGATGACAGGGCATGAATGTGTGTATAAGAGTGAAGAACTAAATTGCGCATTTGCAAGGTTTTTGTTTCACTTGAACATAAGATCCACATTTATATATATTATTTTTGGAAGTCACATTTATTTGAATTTGAAAATAACGTGCAGCAGAAAGAAAATGATCTCCTTAAAAAAAAAAAAAAAAAAACATGCATCATGCAAATAATTATAATTAAAAAACATTTTTTTATTTTTTTTTGCTCAATGCTCCATTATTTTTGTTGCCTTGATTCCATTTCACAAAATGTTGAGATTTCTTTTCCTTTTTTTAAATGTAGAAATACATTGAAAAATGCCTTAATTTGTCTATTCACAGCACCATGCTATGTCTGTTATCACAATACATTCCTGCCTTGGGAGATAATTAAAGATTATAGGTGAGCAGAGAGGTGCTCATTAGGAGAGAGCCTTTGATCTGCGTGTTACAGATTTTTTCCTTTGGGGAAATCTCGAAATTGTGTATGTTTGCTGACTACTGTGAAACAAAGTCTGTGACATAAACAAACCCCCACTGATAGTACATTAACCCATTCAGCACCAATATCAGTCTGTGCCACCTTACCAATCTGATCTTAAGAGACTCTGCTCAAACATCTAGTGCCCCACTCATTTGTATTTACCAGCATTGATAAAGGTATAAGGGCAGGAGAATTGGAAGTAAAATAATTGTTAAAGAGAGAGTCTACACTTCATGACTAATATTCATCCATTGCCGTCCCTCTTGACTCTGACTTCTTCTCTGATATTTTAACTTGATGGCTGCTCATTTTCTCAAACTTAACCTGACCAAAACAGAGCTTCTTGTCTTTACTCCCTCAAGTGCTGCTACTCCAGTGTCTCCCTCCCTCCAACTCAATGGCTACTATCAGCTCTACCTTGCAGGCTTGCTGCCTAGGTGTTCTCTTTGACTCCAACCTCTCCTTATCTTCAGTCACTCACCAAATCCTGCTGCTTCCATCTCAGTAACATAGTTCGCATGCACCTCTATGGAATGCTGGATGCTGCCATGCCACTATCATCTCTCGCCTTCACATATTGCAATCTGCATCTCAGTGGCCTTGCATGGTCCCGGTTGGCCCTGTTTCAGTCTATAATGAATGCGGTGGCAAGGCTCATCTTCCTGTCTGCCAGCAACTTCCATGCCTTCCCTATATTTTAGTCCCTACACTTCATATACAAATAAAAATTATTGAAACCTCAGTTCTTCAGGAAAGCATATAATTTAAACTTTTAATAGCTTCACCCCCCCTATCACTCCCCCACCTGCACTTTGGTAAACCACCTTGCTTCCTCTCCTGCAACTGTGTCATCCAATAAACTAACCCATCATTGTAAACTATTCTAGGTACATACTTTTCCCACCCATAAAATACATTCTACCCTTTCCTTTGTGTCACTTTAACCCACTCCCTCTAGAATGCAACCTCTTTGAGCAGGGCCCTCAATACCCTCTGTACCTGTGCGTCCAACTCGTCTTGTTGCACATATGTGTCTGTTAGTCCACCTATTGTACAGAGCTGCAGAATTTGTTGGTACTTTAAAAATAATAATAACAGGTTGGAGCAGTTATGGTACTAGTAGGCTATTGGCACACTGGTTTGTTTCTGCATCTAACCATTTTAAACAATTTAAATAAAACCAGTGGTCCCATAGACACTGTCCCCTCACCATTTTGTTAATGCCATGGTTTGACGAATAATTGGGCAGTTTCTATAGCTTACTAGTACCATAATCATTACAACAGGATGTAGTAGTTATGGTGCTTAGCGCTGCTCCTTTAATGATCTATTCCTGTCAGCCATACCCCTTCCATTTCTGTTATTATATTTGCTATGATAAAAGCGATGATCAAGTTAATTGGCCTCAGACCTGGATTGAAGGTACGTTTTAGTCTTTTTGTTCTTTTTTTCCTTTCGGGGGGAGGGGATGACAGCATGGGTTACTCTAAAGAAAAACAGTGTCTTACTGAAAAACTAAAACCTATTAAATAAGTGCCTTTGTATTTTGGGATGAAGGGCTCTCACTACCTGTCCCAATTCTGTTTGATACTTATCTGCTAGGCAGGTTAGCGAGCTTTATTTAATAAAATTATTGAAAATACAATGGTAAGCACATCATGTTTGCCTTTCTTTTTCTTGCTCCTTCTCTCTGTGCTTGTTATTTACTTGTTGAAATGAAAAGGCTGTTATTATTCTGAGAACTCATGTGAAAACCCATTGGTTCTTTTGTCTCTACTTCATTTCTAATGTACCAGTTACTTAAAATGTTGGAATCTCCCGGCTTTCACTGGCTTGGTTTAGTTGTGGGACAATAATGAATACTTTCTGCTGCCTGTTAAAACAAGAAGGAATTTGTCACTATTGTGCTCTTGAGCTTTCCACTTACCCAAATTATAGTGCAGGTTTACAAAACAAGTAAGGTAAATGTCATGTGTGTTTTTAACATTTATTGTTAGTTTGTAGCAGTCATTTCGGCGTGGTGTGCCAAATGCATGGTATTGTATCAAAATGTAATACATCTTTATCTACAGATAAATATCCAGCATTTCTTAAACATGAAACTGTTTTTGTACAATACATTACTGTAATTCCATACACAGTAACTTTGTGTGTACTTTATACAGGCATTTATAATTTGTAGACTCAACAAAAAAATCACTGAAAGAGTTATTCTGGCTACAATAGCCAAACTGAGAGAAGAGTTAGGTTTGGGAATTGTTTATCAAATAAGCTATAGTAAGCAAACCCCAGTTTTGCCATTTGGACTAAAATCTCGAGAATTGTCTGTGTTTATAACCCTGTAAGAATTCTTATTTGTTGAATATCTTTGATATTATTTAATGTGCTGTGATATGTTTAGATGCTATCAATACATTCTTTGTTTCAAATAAATGTAATTTTAATGTAATTTTTCAATCAAAAAGTGTTCAGTAATGAAGTGGTTATGGCTTAAACTGTGACGTG